GGCGCGCACTAGCTGCACCCTCCCCCCAGCAGACCAGGGAGACACGGAGCGGCTTTTCTCACCACGGAGGACGCGAGCAGCGGGACCGCCCAAACACGCCGCAGTACCACCACCTGCGTTCTCCGCGGCTTTGCTCCGCGTCTCGCTGGTCTGTTGGGGGGCACCCCCCAGCAGACCAGGGAGACGCTGAGTGGCTTTTCTCGCCGCGGAGGATGCGGGCGGGGGGGCCGGAAGGCGCAGCTAGTTTGGGGTTCCCTCACCCCGTTCGTAAGTAGGGATCCGACTTATGTCGGATCCACGTAAACTCCCTCTGAAATGGTTTTACCATTTCACAAGTTCCCTTCCGCTTCATTACAGACCAGCTCCATGAGCAGCAAGAACACAAGAATTCCCTTCACAAATGGAAAAGGCATTCTGTCGCCAAGTCTCAGGAACAAAAGCTGACTAGAATGCAGAATTATGAGGTTAAGTATACTATTAAGTTAGAAGTAAAAAATTGCCACAAATGAATGCAGTGAGCAAATTAAGTTCTATTTCAGCTTGCACTAAAACAAAAACTTACATTTAAGTTACAAGAGGAAGTGCTGGAATTAGGGATGTGAATGGTTAATCAGTTAAACACTATGTTTAACTGGTTAACTAATTAAATGGGATTTTACATCCTTGGTTGGAATATGCCACAGCAAGAGGTTTGAGGTAGTTTCCTGGTGAGGAGGACATTCAGTTCTCATCATATCAGAGTTTGACACACGTTCCAATAAGTCCATTCCAAGAGGCAGGGTCTGCGCACGCATGGAAGTACCTATTTGCTACATTTCCATTTAGCTGCTGAGAGCAACTTTACGAGCCAGCATGGACAATGGCCCAGCACTGCTCGTACCAAAATAAGGAGCATCCAACAGGGAAGAGTTCACAGCAAGAGATAGAAGGGAAAGGGAAAGGGAAAGGGAAAGGGAAAACACCAGAGAAAACATGATCTACAACATTCAAAAGGGAACTCTATATCTAGCTGCCTGGACACACGTCACCCCATGTATATTCAAATAAAAATAATTTAAAAAACAGCAAGCAAATGGTCTGGTAGCACTTTATAGACTAACAAAACATGTAGATAGTATCATGAGCTTTCGTGGGCACAGCCCACTTCTTCAGATGACCGGAGTTATGATTACAGGATAAGGAAACTCGAAATAAATAGGAGAGAAAGATGTTCAAAGAAAGTCTGCATGCCATTCTCTATTAAATTCTATGCAACTCGTTACAGTACCTCTGTGAAAGAGCTCTTCAGCCAGTGCAGCTGTGATCCCATTGATTTCCTGCAAAGAACAAACCACTTTGAGTTAATTTAAATGTTTTCCATTCTTCAAATGTTGAGCACTTCTAACGACTATCAAAAAACCTAACACATTAGATCTTCAGAAACATCTTTAAAAATGAAGTACTGAGGCCATAATTACATCTATGGATTTTTTAAATACTAAAGTCACTAAAGATACAGCTTGCAATAATTCTGAAAATTAAGAGCCTAAAAAGCCAGAGACAGCATTAGACTACAGATAAATACACTCATTCTTAAGCAGATGTCTTTACTCTATTCAATGTAACAGATACTCGAGTAAATATAACCAAGAACACTGGCACTACTTGAAAGTAAACTCATTCCTTAAACAGGTTGTAGTAATCACTCAGAACTGAGAAACAGCAAGTCCACTATTTTGAAAAGAGATCTTGGAATAAGCTATTCATGTATTAAACTTTCAAGATTTCCTCTCCTATGTCAGACAGACTACACACCACTAACATGGAAAAGATGCCTTCATTGGCTTGCACAGGTCAAAAGAAAAGGATAGCTATAGTTAGTTAATTCACTTCTTTCTAGGACAGGGCTACTCAACTTTGGAAGCCCCAGGGACCACGATGCTCACAGCACATGCCGAGAGCAACTTAAGTGTGGTTGCACATATGTAAATATATACAAATATACAGGGCTCGCCAAACCGCAGCGAGCCCTGCTCGACAGCCGCACTGTCCGGCGATCTGCGCATGCGTAGATCGTCCGAACCCAGCTCTTCCGGATTACAATCTACTCGCCACGGGCAAGTAGATTGTATTATTTGTCAAGCCCAGCAAATATATATGTAAATAGCTTCTTTCACTCCTACAGGCATGAATACAAAGATTAAGGCAAGATTAACACAACACACAGGCTCCATTTAAGTCAGTTCTGCCGATATTAATAAAATGAAATATTTACTTGATTTCCACCCTTATGACAGCACTTTTAATGAGCAATGACAGTCCAGACATTTAACTACTAAAACGCATATCAACAGAAGACCATTTTATTGACTCGCTGTTGTGCAGCGTGTTCCCAGTAGAGGCAACGTTCAAAGGATCCCACTCGTGGGCCACATGTTGAGCCCTGCATAAACCCAAACTGTACCGTACGGGCCGCAAACAAACAGGCCGCAGGCAGTCCATGGGACACATGTTGTGTAGCCCTGCTCTAGGCTTTTCTTCCTCACATTTACTTTGACAGCTTAAGTGCTGTCTGCCCCACCCTGTCCTTAATGCAGCCCCATGAATCAACAGGTAAATGTGTAAATGGAAGGGAGATTAAGAGAAAAAAAAATGTCAACAGAGGGACATTAACACTACTACCTCACCAAGTCCATAAAGGAGGGGAATGAAAGACACCAAGACAGGGAATTAAATATTTCCCACCCACAATGAGGAAAGGTCCTATGGAAATTCAAAGGCAGTTGACACAAGGCAAAAGTAGTAAGATTTTTTTCATTAATTCTCTATTAAACACAAAGAAATCCCTGCAAAAACAGTATCAAAAGTAAACCTTCAAGCAACAGTTAAACTTAACCTTGAAATATTCAGCTAATTTATAATGGAGGATGTAATAGAAACTAAATGAATCTCAATTCAGTATTCATTAAGGCTACGTCTACACTGGCCCCTTTTCCGAAAGGGGCATGCTAATTTTACAGGTCATAATAGGGAAATCCGCGGGGGATTTAAATATCCCCCGCGGCATTTAAATAAAAATGTCCGCTGCTTTTTTCCGGCTTTTAGAAAAGCTGGAAAAGAGTGTCTACACTGGCCCCGATCCTCCGGAAAAAAGCCCTTTTCCGGAGGATCTCTTATTCCTACTTCAGTTTCAGCAGCGGCTGAATCAGGGACCCCTGTGGCAGAGAAGCTGGGGTGCTGCCGGGTTGGTCCCATAGCACCGCTCCTCGGCGCTGCTGGACCAACCCGGCAGCACTCCAGCTGCTCTGCCCTAAGCATCCCCAAGAGCAGTTGGGGTGCTGCCAGGTTGCTCCCGCAGCCCCGATGGGCGGCATTACCGGACCAACCCAGCAGCACCCCAGCTGCTCTGCCCCCGGCTTTCCCCCCTTCGCTCCTGGTCCGC